TAATAATAATAATAATAATAATAATAATAATAATAATATTATATTATTTGTTTAATATATATATAAATATGTTTTTTATTTTTTAAAAAAGGTCGATCAAAAAAAGAAATAGGTCCTATAAAATTAATATTTGAAACTTTTTTATATATTGGGTTATTGAAATAATATGAAAAAGTTAGTTTTAGAAGTAAAATTATTTTAATTAACATAAAAGTAAATACAAATATTAATTTTTTAACTTTTAAATAGCCTTATTTATTAAAAAAATTACATATAAAACAATTTTTTTTTCTTATCTTAAATGAATATTTTAAAATATCATTTAAAATAGTTTTCGATTTTTTATATTTATAATTTATTAAAAATATTTTCTATATTATGATTTATTTAGATCTTTTTTTTCAAAAAGTATATTTGTTATTTTTTTATTTGAAAAAAAATATTAGAGATTTTTTTTATCTTAAAATAAACATTATAGGAATTCTAAATTAATAAACATATTTTTTATAAGCATATATAACATTTTTTAAAGATTTTTAATTTATATTTTTATATAAATTTATAGTAAATAAATTTAAAAAATTTGAATTATATATATTTATATTATTTATATACAATAAATAAAATAAAAATTACTTTCTTTAATTATATAATAGATATATTATATTTTATATACTAGATTTATAAATATAGCAAAAACAACAAATTTTCATTAAATAATGTTATTATAATTTTTATATTTTAATGAAATGAAATAATGTATTTTTATACATTTTTATAATTAAATATTTTTAAAGTTTTTAGTATTTAAAAAAAAAAAGGTATAGAGGCGAAGATATTAATAAATGAGAGTTAAAAATATTTACGATTTAATAATAAAATATTAAATTATTAAAATAATTAGAAAACAAATAATTAAAATAAAAATAATTTATATAAATAATAAAATATTAAATAACAATTTAAAAAAATATTAAAAATATATAATTTAAATGAATAAAAAAAAAATATTAATTTGAAATAAATTAATATATATATATGTATATTTTATTTTTGTTTTTTTAAGTTTTTTTAAGTTTTCGAAAAAAAAAAATATATATATCTAAACCCAAAATACCTTTAACAAAAACAAAATAAATTAAAGACAAATAATAAATACATTTTTTTTAGTAATTATATTTTTAAATAACATTATACTATTCACTATGTTAAAAAAAATACAAATAATAAAATCATTTTAATTTAAAGAAAATTTATTTAAAATATTATTTTTTTAATAAAATACGTTTATAAACATAAAAGAAAAAAAGAGTTAAATAAATTATAAATCACTTCATAATTACTTAAAATAATGTTTTTTTTATGTAATTAATTTATATTATTGTTAAATAAGTATTAAATATATTCAACACTATTTATTTATTATAAAATTATAATAGATAAATATATTAATTAAAAAAATTATTTTTTATAAATTAAAAAAAAAAAAAAACTTAAATAATCTTTAATTTTTAATATAAAATATTATCACAAAAAACTAAATATAATAATTTAAAAAATAAAATACATAAATATGGATTATTTATTCACAAATATAAATTAATAAATATTTCCAATAATTCTTTCTTTTTTAGATTGCTATTCTATATCTTAATTAGCTTTACTTTCCTAAAAAATTCGATTTTTAATAGGTGAAAATATATAGAAATCTTTTAAAATTAAAAATCTATATTACGAAGATATAAGTAAATATATAAGTACTAATAGAGATATTATTGATTAAACAAATGAAGTTATAAAATATTCAAAACTATTTTAAAATGTAGAAATATTTTAAAGAATGCTTTAATTAATAAATAAATAAAATTTAAATCTTTTTAATTTGTTTTTGTAAGTAGTATTAAATAAATAAATATTATTAAATCCAATATAATTAGAAGAATAGAGAAAAGGCTTAAAATTATTACAAAAAAATATAATTATTAATCTTTAGTAAATTTATAAATACGTAAGCATATTTAAAGATTTAAAGTTAGAAGAAATATAAATAAATAATATATAATTTCTAACTTAAAATAAAAAAATAAATAAAATGATAAATGCAATAATCGAAATTATTTAATTAGGAAAAATCTTAAAAAAAAGAAGTAAAGATTTAGATTTATAGTATTATGAAAAATATACTAAATCTTAAGAGTATATAAAATTCTATAATAAATAGAAAATACTTTAATAAAAAATAAAAAATTAATATAAAAACAAAATTTATTATTTGAAATTTGGAAATTAATATAATAATTATATAGGAACGAACTTAAATAGTATAGTTTTTTCTTTTTTGAATACTAAAGAATTATTAAATATGAGACTTATTTGTAAATCTTTTAAAGATTAATTTTATAATATAAAAAATTATATTTTAAATGATTCTTAATAAAGAATAGAACTCTTATAATTATAAATTAATAATTCTTCTTTTGATTTAAAACTATAAGATTTTATAGGAAAATATTAATAAATATAATTTAGAAGGTATAAAATAAAATAATGATTATATATATATATATATATATATATATATATATATATATATATATATATATATATATATATATATATATATATATATATATTAATTTAAAAGAGCTGATATATCTGAACTTAGAGCATATGCTAATCCACCTGTTGCTGTAATTAATTTATTTACCATTTTTATGAAGTCATCTAATTAAACATATAAAGATTATTCTTGGTTATAAATAAAGTAGTTCGTTAGTTAGAACTTTTATGACTAAAATTAAGGAGAACAATTTTTTTAAAAATTATTGATTTAAAATTTTGATAAAAAACAACTTAATTTATTATAAGAGTATTTTAAAAGTAATACTTTTTAAAGCATTTAAAGAGTTAGTCATTTTAGTACTAAAGTCTATTTGAATTTATATATTGCTTATTATATAAATATTTATAAAATTTCTTAATTAGAATTAATTAAATTTATGAAAGCATAAAAATTAATTAAAGAAAATTAAAATAGAATAATTGAAATGGAAAAAATAATTAAAAAAATATAATGATAATAAATAATAAAATATATATATATATATATATAAATATAATTTATTATTATTAATATATATATAAATTTTATATAAACATTAAAAAACCATATATAAAATATAATTTATATATAATATTATTAATTTATATATTTATAAATAATAATTAAATTTATATCTTTCAAGCTTTATTAGCTGTACATTAACCTTTAATAACCTAAGGAATATTAAATTTACTAACATCAGTGAATCCTCCTAGTACATTAACAATATTTTAATATCCGAATTTTTCCAAAATACTATAGGCTACAACTGATCTAACACCTGATCTGCAAAAAATATATAAATTTTCATTATTATTAAAAAGATGATTATTTTTTTCTAATTCTTTTTACAAAATAGCCAATTCAACATTTATTGAATTTTCTATTTTTCCAACACTTTCCAATTCTTAAGGTTTTCTGACATCTAAAAGTGTAAATTTTTCATTTTTTTAAATTTTCTATACTAAATCTTATGATGAAATATTTTAACCTTTTTTTACTTCAAAACCTTCTTTTTTCCAAGCTTAAAAACCTCCTTTTAAAAAGCCTTTTACGTTTTCATATCCTATTCTTGCAAGTCTCAATATAGCGGCTTTTTCTTAATCTTCAGGCACCAATATTATTATATTTTAAGAAGGAGAAACCAAACAACCTATCCATTAAGCAAAAGGCATATCCAAAGAAAGAAAAAGAGAATAAGGAATATATTCAGATATAAATTCGCTATTTTTACGACAATCAATTAATAAATAATTTTAATTTTTTAACAATTCTTTAACTTCTATAGGTTTTAAAGGAACATAAGATTTTTTTACAATTTCATCTAATTAACTTGTATAACCTTCCTTATTTATTTTAGCATCATAAAAATAACTAATATAAAATAAAAAAAAAACATTAATTACAAATATAATTATATATCTTTTATAAATTTATAAATTTAAATTGATAAATTGATAAAAATGATAAAATAAATTATGGCATTTATATATAAAAATATATAAATATAACAATATTTAAATATATATATATATATATTTATATATATTTATATATAAATTATACTATATTGGAGGATCAGTTATGTTAGTAACATTTATAATAAATTAATCCAATGTTAAATTATTTTATAAAGCCCAATTTTATTATAATTAATTTTCAAGTATATCATGAGTTTTATCACTAATATTTTTTCCACATGAAGAACCTGCTCCATGTGCTGGGAAGACTATATTTTTACTATTTAAAGTCTTTATTTTATTTTATAAAGATATATAAAGTTTTTCAGCCTACAATTCTTTTGTTGTTACTGTATTTTAACATAAATCTGGTCTACCGACATCTCCTAAGAATAAAGTATCTCCTGTAAAAACACAGTATTCTTATAAATTTTCATCCAATAATAAAAAGCATGAGCTTTCATTTGTATGACCTGGAGTATGAATTATTTTTATTTTTATCTTTCCTAGTTCAAGTATTTAACCATCTGATGCAATCTCCGTTTTATAACCTACTTAAGCTGTAGGTCCATATACAATAGGAGCTTTTGTTTTTTACTGAAGTTCTATATGACTGGAAACAAAGTCGGCATGGATATGGGTCATTAATATGTATTTTAATTCTGCTTTACGATCGTTTAGGATTTCGAGATAGCGATAATAGTCTCTCATTGGGTCTATAATAACAGCTTTTCCTTCTGATTCTATATAATATGTCATTTAGCTTAAACATTAGGTTATGTATTGGCGAATATAGATTTAGTTGTGTTTAAATTCATTTATTATTGGTTCCATATTTTATTATGAATTAATTTTTAATTATATATTATTATTATTATTAAATAAAATATATTTTTTTTTCTTTGATACATAAAGAGTTTATTATAAATTAAAATTATTTTATAAAATTATGACATAATAATTATATAAAATAAATAATTTAATGATTTCTCTAATAAATAAAAAAAAAATATATAAATTAAATAAATTATTAATAAAAAATAAAAAAAAAAAACAATAATTTTATGTAGTTTAAAAATTATATTATTGTAATATTTAAAAAAAAATATTTTTATATTTATATTATTAATAAATAAACTATATTAGATATATTTTTATTAATAAATATTAATTACTTTTTTTATAATATATAACATAAATATTTATAATAAATATAAAAACAATAAAATTTAATTTATTTTAATATAATTTTTTATTTTTTTTTAATTTATTTTATTTATTTACTTTTTTTTTTTTAATATTTCAATATTTAAAAAATAAAAAAAACTAAAATATATGGGTAATTGTGCTACGTAACAAGAAAACTTAAAAAAAAAATCATCATGTACATATATTTATATGCTATATATAATTTTATATGTTTTAAATATTATTGATTTAAATATTTTTTTTTTTAATCTACAAATACAAATAGTTAATGTTTAAGGATATATTTTTAATGATATTATAGGAAAAGGAGGATATGGAAAAGTATTTAAATTAAACTAAAACATACTATTTATTTAGTTATTAAATATAATTTATTTATAATAAAATTAATATTAATTAATAATATAATTTACTTTTAATAATAATAAAGGTATGGCATGTTACTAAAAGAAAAAACAAATAAAATTATGCAATGAAAATAATGTCAAAAGTAAAAATATTAAGCAAAAAAAGCGTTACATCTGTTTTAAATGAACGTAAACTTCTTGCTTTTTTATAACATCCGTATGAAAAATAAACATATATATAAAAAACAAAATATATATATATATTATTTTAAAAATGATAAAAATAAGATTAATTATTGGTATTGAATGTTCTTTTTAAGATAGAGATAATTTATATTTAGTTATGCCTTATATTTCTGGAGGAGATTTACGTTTTCATTTACAAAAAAACTAATTTAATGAATAACAGTCAAGCAAAATATTTAATATATATACATCAATAGTTTATTTTTTTTAAAATAAAATATTCTAATTAAAATAAATTTAATATATATATATATATATATTTTTTTAAAAAAATAAAGTATTTATTGCAAGTTGTATTATATCTTCATTAGAATATATCCATTAAAATAACATTTTACATAGAGATGTAAAACCAGAAAATTTAATATTTGATGAAAATGGTTACGTAAAAATTACTGATTTTGGAATATCTAGATTATGGAGACTTCAAAATTCAAATGAAACTAGTGGTACTCCTGGTTATATGGGTAATTATAATTTATAAGCAAAAAAATTATTAAAAATACATAAAAATAATATAGCTCCGGAAATTTTAATGAGATAAAATTATGGTATAGCAGTTGATTATTATGCTTTAGGAGTAATTTTATATGAATTAGCTATGGGAAGGGTATAATATAAATAAAAAACAAAAAGAACAAACAAACAAAACAAAATAGAGACCATATAAAGCAACAGATAGATAGGAATTAAGAGAATAAATAATGGCAAAATAAGTGTAAATAAAAATAGATGAAGTTCCAAAGGGATGGAGTTTAGAAAGTATAGACTTTATAAATCTTTTAATATAAAGAAAACCTTAAAATAGACTTGGTGTAAATGGTCCATAAGAAGTAAAAAATCATATTTGGTTAAAAACAGTTTCTTGGTAAAAAATTTATTCTTAAGAATTAGAGGCACCTTATAAACCTTAGGTATATATTTTTTTTTTTTTTTTAAATATATTTTTTTTTTCTATTAAGAAATGTTAAAATTATTATAATAATAATAATTTAAAATCTGAATAAAGCGATATTGATAAATAAAATTTAATTTTATTAAGAAAAAATGATGTTTAATCTCTTTTTAAAGGCTATGAGTTTGATTTAGTAAATAATAAAAGGGAATAAAGTGCAACACTTATAGAAGATAAATGTATAGAGGAAACTAATAATAGTAAAACATGTGCAGATTATACAGATTAATTAATAAAATAAATGGCATAATAATTAACTAAATCACCTAATGCAAATTAAAAAAGTATTAATTAAAAAAATATATAATAAAATTAATAAAAAGATGATTGTAAATAAAATATTTAAGGTAATGCTAGCAATGGTAATATTAATAAAATAGTAAATTAAAATAGTATGATTTGTAACAATAAAGAAAAAACAAATAATAATAATAATTCTAATAATAATTGATTTTTTTTTTTTCAAATATAGTTTTAAAATTTTATTAACATATATATAAAAAGTATATATTATAAACTATTTAATAAATAAAAAATTAAAATAGAAAGATAAAGAAACTAAAAATAAATAAATATAAAAAAATATAAAAATATAAAAATATAAATATATATATATTTTATATAAAATATATATATTTTATATATATATATATATATATATTTATATTTTTTTTATTTTTATATTTTTTTTTTATTTTTTTTTTCTTTAATTTATATCGTTTTTATCTATATTTTTTTTTATTTAATTTTTTTATAAATAATTATAATATATATTTGTTTCATTACATATTTCATTATATAATTTATTTTAAATTTTTTTTTATTTATATATATATATTATTTGTATATAAATTTTTTCTAATTAACTAATTTAAAATTTCCTTTTTATTTTATATATTTTTTAATTTTTATATTAGATATTAATTTATATAAATAAATTAATAAATTATATATAAAAAAAAATATATTTTTTTTATATTAATTGTAAGTTTTATTAAATATATATAATAAATATATAAAATAAAAATAAAAATCTTACAAATTATTATATAAATATGATAAAAAAGTAAATAAATAAAATTAATATTTTTTTAAAAAAATATTTTTTAAATTAATAAAATGAAATAATATTACATTATTTATTAAAATAATGTGAAATATTAAAACTATTATACTAATTGGAAAATTAAACAATATTTTAAGAATGTCTATATATTTGTCATTTTTTTTTCAAATTTGGTTTGAAAGTACAGCATTTAATTTCTTAATTATAATTATATTTTCTAAAATTGTTAATTTTTTATTCCTTTACATATTAAAGCATTTTAATATTTTATAAGCAATTATGTTCTTAAAAGTAACTTTAAATATTTGAATTAATATATTTTTAGCTAATTTTTTATGGTTAAAATGAACATTCAGACAAAGACTTTCTAATATATTCATCTTAAAGTTATTAAATATGCATTTTTCCTGAATAATTATAAACTAATTAATCATGATCTCTTTATCTATTATTACTTAAAAATCTAGAAATTTCACCTATATATGGGGTAAAAGTATTTTCTTAATTTTATTATTATTAAATATCTAACATTTTTCGAGTTTTTTTTTATTCAGAATTCGATGCATTTTTGGAATAACTTGAAAAAAAGGACGAATTATTTTTTTTCTTTTAAAAAGGAGATTACATGCTTTTAAAAATATCATTAGGATTTTATTAATATAGTTAAGAATAAAATAAATTTACTTTTACTTTTTATTTATTTTCATGCTTTTTTTTTTAGAATTACTATTATCTTTATATAAATTCGTTAATTTTTTTAATATTATTTGAATTGTTTAATATTTTATTTTCTTCTTTTTTTATTTATGTATTATAATATTTTTATTCGTTATCATTTTTTATTATTTAGTATTTTTTATCATCTTATTTTTTTATTTAAGCTAAAATTTTACTTATTTCATTTATTTAAGGTTTGAATGGGAATTCATTTCCTTTTGTTATTTTTTATATTTTATTTACTTTCTATTTATTTAAAAATTCTTCTTAGTTAAATTTAAAGTTTTGGTTTATTTATGGCTAAAATGTGCATTCTTTTAATTTTTTTTGATCTTATATTTTTGTTTCTATTTCAATTTTTTTTTTTATTTTCTATATTTTTTATAAGTCTGTCTTCAACTTTTAATTTTTGGTCTTAATCTCTTTACAATAAAGAATAATTGTGGTTTATTTAGGGAGAAAAAGAACATGATAAAATTTCATTTTTTACTTTTTAAAATTTTTAATTTTATAAACTTTCATATTTTTCATTTTAATTTTATTATAAACGAGTCCTAATTTATATTATTTCTGATTTAGACAGTTTAGAAGATTCAATTTTTATATCTTTTGATTTACATATTGAATGGTAGTTTTTTTTATGATTCTTTTATAATTATATATTTATTGATATTTAATTCATTAATAAATTTAATTTATAAATAAAAATATTATATATATATATAATTTATTAAATAAATATATTTAAGTTATAAAAATTATAAATTATACAATTTTATTTATTAATAAATCATTATTTTTATTATATAAATTTTATCAAATAAAAATGGAAATATAAACATAAAAAATAAAATAAAAATAATAATAATAATAATAATTAGATTTATAAAATAAGTAAGAAATTATAAAATATTTAAAATTTAATTAATATAAAGTACGAAAGAAAATCTTACTATAAAATAATTGAATGAAAATTCATTAAAATTAAATTAAAAATATAATTTATATTAAAAAGATTAATTATCTAAAATCGAAATATTAAATAGATGGAAATATATATACTAAAAATAAAAAACATCTATTAATAAATATTAATAAGAATTTATTGAACTTTGTACGTATCCAAAATCATTTTATTTGATAAAAAATTTTCATTTAAAACTTTCGAATTCAGATTAAATATTTCTATAGACATTCCGAGTATATATATAAATATGTATATATATACATAAATATGTTTATATAAATATTTATATATATATATTTTTATTTATATATTTATCAATAATTTTTATTTTTTTAATTTTATAAAAGGAAAAAGAAAATTAAGAAAATGATTAGCATTCATCATTTATGCATAAAGCATGTTTAGAAGGTTTAAATGAATAACAAATTACTTAGTTAGTGAACTCTCACTTAAGTAATTAGGAAGAATTAGAAAAATAATTTAAAATTAAATTTAAAGAACATGAGGAAAATTATTATCAAGAATATGAACATTTAATAACTGAATTATATGGATAAAGAGAAAAATAAAAAATATTAAACATAATGAAGTTTCCAAATAAACAATGAATGCTAATTTTTATGAAAACATGCTTTCTGAAATTTTCGGAAACAATTAAAATATCTAATAAAATAATTTAATTAATTAAAAATTCGAAAAATAAAAATATAGATTATGTTTAGGCTTATAAAAAAAAGAATTTTTGAAATTAATGTATTAAATTAAACTTTTGCGAATATTTTTTCTTAATAATAATATTTAAAAAATATGGAATTTGATTAAAATCCTTATAATAATTATATATATGGACCTAATAATAAAACAGGAATGCTAAATATAATCTACAGTATTCCTAAATTTAATCATAATTTGAAAAAATATTTCAAATTTAAAACTGATTTACATCATTCATCTTATATTTCTTAATTTTAAACAGCAATATAATGTATTTTTTTTATATAAAAAATATTAATATATATATAGAAAAGGATAATATATAAGACGGTGATTTATTTGTTACTAGGCATAGTTGTTTAGGAAATGTTTAGTATTTATTTACTATTTTTAAAAAAGAAGAAAATAAAAAATTGGATTTTTCTTTTGTTAAATAAATATTAAATTTATGTAATAATATGTAAATTAAAAAAATAATCTTTCCTGTTCATTTTTTACTGTTATAATCAAAAGATATCAAATCTAATTTAGATATTTTAAAAGAATTTTGTATTTTAATAAAATAAGAATTATAAATTTTAGCTTATGATTATTCTTATACTCAATAATTCCTTAAAAAAATTGTTTTACTTGTTTAAGTGGAAAATAATAAAAGAGATATTTATGATAAATTAAAAGAAATATTTTATTAAATCTTAGAATGATAATTTAGATAATGTTAAATTAATTTAATTATTTATATTTATTTATAATTTATAATTTTAATTTTATATTTTAAAAAATATAATAATTTGTATTGCATAATTATTAAATAATAATATATTATATATTTTATAAATAAACTTTTACTTTCTATATTAAAATTTAAAATTCAAATATATCTATAAATAAATCTAGAAAAAGAAAAATATATAAATTTATATATGTTTTAGTTAATTAAATTCTTTAAATTAAATATATTTATAAAAAATGTTTTTTTTAATTTATTAATTATTTATATAATTAAAAATTTATTTAAAAATAGAAAAGATATTCATTTTATTTAAAATTATTATAAATTATTTTCAAAATACAAATGTTTGAAATGAAAAAATTAAAATAAATAAAGTTTTGTTTTTAATTTGCTTAAAAATTCTTATAAATTTAATAAATTTTATTTTTAAAATTTTATAAAAATTTAAAAATATCATAACATAATAAACTTAATATAAAAAATATATATTAACATACTAACAATATTAAAAAAATAAAAAATAGCATCGCATAATTAAAAAAATAAATTAAAATATACAAAATATATTTAAAAAATAAAATAATAATATAATTAAATATTTATATATTATATCTATATACATAAGTTTTTATTTATATTATGTATTGTTATAAATTTTATTAAAATAATACTTAATAAATAAAATTTATATATGCAAAAAGATTCATATTATCTTGAATAATAGAAAAAAAACAAAAGCACAATATCCAAATATACTGTATCTTCTGAAATTGCCCTATAACTTTGTGGTAACGGCCATAAATATCAAGCCAAAACAATTTTTTGGCTTTCTTTAATTTGCTGTGTTATATCTTTTTTTTAAATGGGTTATCCATTAATGTTTATTTAGCCAGAAATTCAATGTTATAAAAAAGATTCAGAAACTTTTTAAAACTCAATTAAATGTACTCGAAAATAAGCATGTACTGATTCTTCCTTAAATTATTACGTTCCTAAAAAAAACAATTTAAAATCTCTTATATATACATTTAATTTAATCTGCGAAGATGAATAATTTGAAATATTATGCAGTATTTCTTTACTTTTAGGTGGTTGTTTTGGTAGTTTAATATATGGCGAGTTAATGGAAAGAAGAGGTAGACGAAAACCAATATAAGAAGGTATTTTATTAATGATTATAAGCTGCATAGTGAGTTATTTCAGCATAAATATTTATATGTTTTACTTTTGCACTTTTTGGTTTGGCTTTGGTTGTCGTGTATTTTTTAATTCTTCCATAATTTACACTTGCGAAATCTCCAGTGAGAACCTTAGATAGCTTTCTCCAGTTTTTTTACATATAGGAAGGGGTTTCGGTCTCATAATAATTTGCTAATTGGCCTATAGTAATAGCGGATGGCAATTTATTTTAGTTTTTCTCACTGCAATACCTTTATTTTTCCTTCTTTTTTAAATCAGGTATTTTGTAGAAAGTCCTCGTTTTTTCGTAGTGAAGAAATAATTTGAAAATGCAAAAAAAACATTACTGGAAATCGCCCAATTTAACAAAAGGTAAATTCCCGAAGATTTCTTATTATAAGAAGAAGTTAAATAAATATAAAAAAGTGAAAAAATAGTAAAACTTCTCGGAAATTAGAATAATAATAATTTCTAGTTTAAAACTTTTTCATATTCGGCTTTATTTTCATATAAATCTATTCGTTCAAGGACTTTTATTTTAACTTATATATGGTGTTTAATACGATTTACGTATTTCTTGAGTGTTTTCGAAATATATACTTTCGAGGGAAATCTATACGCAAATATAGCTGCTATGGGTTTAAGTGAGCTTATATCTTATTTTTTTGCAGGTTATTTGATATTAAGTTATCCCAGAAAAAGCATTTTTAAAGGAGTCCTGTGGTTTGGAGGTATCGTTAATCTAGCTTTTTTAGTCTTTTAATATGTAAATAAAAAAGTCTTTTTATTCAAAAGCTTGACTATGGGAGGAATTCTTCTTTTAAGAATAGTTATTTGTGCCGCAAATTGTATGTTAAATGTTTATGTATATGAAATTTATCCTACAGTGGTAAGACATTTTGCTTTTGGATATTTCGGGTTTTGTATGGATGTGGTAGTTATGCTAGTTTAGCCATTTACGATGATAATTGATACACTTAATATAAGCCCATTTGTACCACTTTCTTTGTTGTTCTTTTTAGGAATTCCAATTATGGGAAAACTAAGGGAAACTATAGGAAATATACCCAAAGATAATTTAGAAGAAGAATAAGAATCGTTAATTTAATAACCTCTTATAGGAAAATGATTTATAAATATATATATATATATAGGTTATACTTTATTAATATTTTTTATTTTTTTATTTAATAATAATAATGAAATATATATATAAAAAATAATATATAAAAATATATTATTATTAAAAAAAAATGATTTTGAAAGAGTCTATTTTTAAAAAGATTCTAAAGAATTCAGCAATAAAATTTAATATAAAAAATTAATTTAATTTCAATATATTAAAAAATTGTATAATTAAATACATTTATTTTAATTATTATAATATAAAAAATTAAATTTAAATTAAATTTAATAATAAAAAAAAAATTATATAAATAAAAAGATTTATATTTAAAATATAATTTTTAAATATAAAATAAAATAAAAATAAATGTAAATATAAAAAAATAATATATTTAAAATAAATGTATAAAAAAATATAAAATATATATATATATAAATAATAATAATATATAAAAATATATATATATATAAAATATTAATTATATATATATATATATTTATTTATTTTTTTTATAATTATATAAATATATATTTTTTTCTTTTTTTTATTATTTTTATATTTCATTATAATATTTTATTTTCTTAATAAATCTATTTATAAAAATTTTATTGTTTTTGTTTTAAGATCTTTTCTATTTTTTATTTTTTTATATTTATTTTTTTAATTTAATAAGGCCTAATTTTTTATTATATTATACACAATTTGTTTATAATCTTACAGAATATTTACGATTTAATATTTAATTAATTTATTTTCTTTTTATTGCTTTTTTAATTATTTTTTTAAAATATTAAAATTATTTTTTAAATATTTTATTTTATTAAAAAAATTTAAAAATTTTAGTTTTTTATTTTATGAAAGTTTCAAAAAATATATATATTTTAATAATTGAAATTATTCATATTTAATTTTACAAATTATATTTATAAAATATTAAAAAAAAATAAAAGAAATTTAAAATTATTTTTAAATGATTTTTTTTTTATTAAAAAAAAAATATTTTCTATATATATATATATTTTTATTTTTTAAAAAATAAAATAAATATTTTATAATTAAAAAAAAAGAATAAATTTATATTTTTAATATAAAAAAGAAATTTTAAAATTTATTTTTTTGTTAAAAAAAATATTATATTTAATAAATAAAAATATAATATTATATAAGTATTAAAAAAATAAATGTATAAAAATAAATTTATAAATCATTTTTATTTTATCATAAAAAAATAAATAATTTTAAATATAAAATAAAAAAATAAATTATATAAAAATAACTATAATCATAATCATAATAATTATAATAATAATAATAAAAATAAAAACAAAAACAAAAACAAAAACAAAAATAGTTATAACAATAATAATATAGAAATAATATTTATATGAATATATTATTACAAAAATTAAATATTTTAACAAATTCAAATCAAGCAAAATCAACTTTATCTGGTGCTTTTTTGTTTAATTTAGGTTCAGGTGGTATTCTTGCTTGGAGTTCTATTAATGTATATTTTTATTCATATTTTTTCCATTATGATAAAAACTTTACAGTTTAATTCGCCTAAATGGCATTCGGAATGGCCTTTTTATTAATAGGATTAGTAGCTTTATTTGCTGTAAATATAGCCTAAAAAGTTGGTTTTGAACGCCTAATCCGAACATGTGCAATTTTATATATTTTGTGCGTCTTAGCTAGTGCAATATGTTAAAAATACATTTATTTTTTCATATTTTATAATGTATTTGCCTCTGTATCATATTGTATGACCGCTATTCCAATCTTAAATTGCGCCTGGAGCTAATTTGATAAAAAAGACTCTGGAAAAATAACTGGAATGTGTTTATTTTGCTTAAGTATATCTGCTTTATTTTCAATTTTTCTATTTACTTATTTAATAAACTCCCAAAACGGTTTAGCTGAAATTATAAAAAAGGAAGGAGAAAATGAAGTGCGTTTTTTTTCTTAAGAAATAAGCAAAAAAGTTCCTCTTGCATTAATTTAAATGGGTATTTTTTACTCTTTTTTAATAATACCAGGCTCTTTAAAAATACATAAAAGAATATAAATGCAATAATATGAATAATTCGATAGAGAAGAATAAAACAATATGCAAGAAAGTGGATAGACTAAAAGTTAAATAATTACAGGTGTTTCTTAAAATTAAGATTAAAAATAAATAAATAATGAAGATGTTAATAATAATATTATTCAGGATAATAATTAATAAAAATAGCAAAAAAGTGTCAAAGATTGTCTTTTTTCAACACCTTTTTTAGTTTTTTATACATTTAATTTCCTCGATGCTATGTATATAGGATATTTATAATTAAATTTTAAAATATACGGTTAAAATAAAATAAAAGATGATTAATTTCTAACTTTTATTCTTCTTTTTAATTAAATAATAGGAGGTCTTGCAAATTTAATTTTCGGTTATTTAATAGATAAGTTCCATTTTAAATACTGTTTTATTTTAATATAAACATGTATAGGTTTACTAACTTTTACAATGCCATTTATTTCCACATTTAAATTTTTACTCTTTTTTTGGTATATAACTATTGGATTTGTACTGAATGGATTATAAACCATTAGCGGACCAGTCCTTATGGGAATTTTCGGGGTCGATATAGGATCTAAGTTACTTTCGGTTAAGTCTACGGCCTTTTTTGGAGGAGTTATTTTTGTTTAAGTCTTGGCTTTTTTTTTAAATAAATTTTTTACGTTTGATGAGGTTCTACATATATTGGGAATTGTCATATTATTTAGTAATGTTTTGATTAAAAAAATTGGTGGTATTTAGATTTATAGATGACATTTTTTTTTATTTTATTTAATAAATTTTTTTTATATATGTTTGTTAAATAATGTTAAATTATATAATATTTTTTTTATTTGTATTTATTAAATATATTGAATTTGTATATTAAGAATATATATAATAATTTAATATATTATGTTAAAATAAACTAATTTAATTCTTATTTACTAAATAAATAAAAAATATTTATTAAGTATTTGTAAATATTATAGTTTTTATATATGTAAATAAATTATATTTATAAGATAATAAATAACTTTTTTATAAAAAATAATTATTATATTCAAATATTAATATAAATATAAAAATATTAAAATTAAAAATATAAAAATAAATATACTCTTATTTACATATAAAAATTAAATAAATAAATATGTATACAATGTAAAAATTCTTTTTTTATATTTAGGGTTACTATTTAAATCATATGTATATATAAAATTATTAATTTTTCTACAATAATATTATTTTAGTTTTATTAAAATAAAATAATATTTAATATAAAAAATACTAAATAATTAAAAAAAAAATGGAATAATAATAAAATAAATAATAATATATATCAACAAATATTTAAGAAGTAAATAATATAAAAACTAAAATAAATAAAAAATATTAATTTAAGTTAGAAACAAAAAATAATCAATAAATTGGTTCAGAAAATTAAAATATTTAAATTTCCAAATAAATTAAAGTAAAATAAATAAATATTTTGATATAAAAACAATACAAAACAGAATATCATAAAAAATAACATAAGTAAACTTTAATTTAAAACTACTTAAGATTCTAATTGTACAATAAATCGCGATCTCAGTAAAATATAAATTAAAACACTAAAAGTTAATAAAAAATAAGGTCAATTTAGTATAATTAGATTAATTAAATAAGTATAATCAAAAAATAAAGAAAGACAAAAAAAAACTTTGACGCCAGAAATAATCCAATAAATATTCAAAAGATCATATTCTAAAATCAAAACAATAACAAGACTAAATAGAATAAGTAAAAATATAAGAAATTATGGAACTTCTCCAAATTTAGTTGATGTAGCAACAAAAAATAGGCCTACTTTAAAAAAATTACTTTTTCCATTAAGTAAATGTAGTTTGTAAAATAAGAAATAAAAAAAAAGACTTCCGTTTATTCTATTAAATCCGAATTGGAGATTTTTCAAGATATGGTAACCAATTTAAGTATAATATATAAATAAATAAATAAATAAATAAATAAATAAATAAATAAATAAATATATATATATATATATATATATATATATAATATTAATAATATTACAGATAATCTTAATTTTATATTCTGTAACAATGCATCCATATATATTTTCATTTTTATAAGATGATTAAACTTTATTCATTTATTATATTCAATAAGTTTTTGATTATTTATATTGGTTAGATTTACTAATAAACATGTTTACTACATTTTACGATGACGATAATTATTTAGTTTCAAATGTAAAACTAGTTCTTTTAAATTATTTTAAAGGCTGGTTTTTGGTTGATTTTTTGTCTTGCTTTCCTTTTCATTATTTAATATATTGTATTTTAAAATTGTAAAATTATTAAGAAAATACTTTTAAAATTTTCAATGTTTCTCGATTACCACGTTTATTTAATATTTTTAAAATAACTAAATTTTGTAAAATTAACAAATATTTTAATAATAATTTAATTTTAAATTATTTATCTTTAAACACTGGATTTGTTAGATTATTTACTTTATTTTTTCAATTTTTTGTACTTATTCATTATATTACTTGTATATGGTTTTTTTAAACATTTTTTTTCGATTTTTCCGAATAAACATGGATTTATAAGAAAAAAATTGCAGAAATGTCCAATATAAATATATATTTAACTTCTATGTATTATGTATTTACGACTATAACTACACTAGGATATGGAGATATAATTTCTTATACAAAAACCGAAATAATAATTACAATAATATTAATGTTTCTCGGTGTGGGTTTCTATTCAATTTTGATAGGTATTTTAATGTCTATCTTATAATTAATGGACTTTAAAGACAATAAACTTTAAAAAAAAATACTTACAATAAACAATTTTTGTAACGAAATGAATATAGGGATTTCCTTGAAAAAAAAACTAAGGGATTATATATAATATAGTATGGATAAAAACTGTTTTTAATGGTCAAACTAGAATGATATTTATGATTAATTACCTATAGGATTAAGATATGAAATCTGTATGAATATGCACAATTAAGTTATGAAAAGTTTCCATTTATTTAATACAGCTGATGATTAGAATTTTGTGGCTAAAATAGTACCTTTTTTAATGCCTGTTAAATATGAAAAAGGAGAAATCATCTGGAGTTAAGGATAAGAGCCTATTTAGTGTTTTAATTTATTTTTAAATATAATATAATATATTATAATTATTATTTTTTATTTTAATAATTTAATCTTACATTTTTATTAGTGTTTTTAATTAAAAGTGGAAGAGTTAGTTTCTAAAAAAAAATATTTAAAGATAATTTAAATAATGATTATAATGTATTATTATTAGATTTAAATTATAATAATAATTTAAGAAAAAAAAAAAAAAAAAGAAAGAAATTTAATTTAAAACAATGATTAGTGGTTCTTATTTTGGAGAAATAGAAATCATATATCAATAAAAGCGTTAGTATACATGTATTGCAGAAACTAATTGCGAATTATTTCAACTTTCTAGTTAGTATTATATTAATTTAGTCCAATAATAATTTCCTCATATACATTAAAAAATTAAAAAAACTGCATATGATAGATATAAAAAAAACAAGTAGAATATATAAGCAGTAAGTAAAATATTAATAATAATAAATAATAATATTTATTATAAAATTTAGATAAAAAAATTAATAAAAAAAGCAAAAAATTGTAATTAAAATAATATAATATTAGGATCAAGTAATTAGTATTTGGAAAAACTTATTTCTTTAAATACTGATAATGATTCTTAAGAAACAGATAGTCCAAAAAATTAAGTATTAAATAGCAAATTATAACAAAATAAATATATTTAAACTTTAAAAGAAGATATTAAAATAAAATAATTAAGTAAAAAATAAGAGTTTAATACATAAAAAATAAAAGTAAATATATATATATATATATATAACATATATTTATCTAATTTATATAAATATTAGAATATATAATAAAACTTAGTCTAATTAAATGAAAATATATAGAATTTATTAGAATAAATAAGAAGTTTAATTAATTAACAATAATGAATTTTTTTGTTAATAAAAATAAAAAATAAATTAAATATAATATAATCTAATATAATAAATAAATTTTATGTAAAAAATAAATAAATGCAAATCGAAATAATAAAACAATGTACAAATTCAAACATTTCATGTATACTATAATCTCTATTATCTATATATTCTCTCATAGTTCTAATATATATATTGTATGTAATAAACAAGATAATCCATCATACTGGAAAGGTTTTAAGTTTTGAATAAATCCCATTAGCAACTAGCAAAATTTAATCATTAATTTAAATCATATAGAACATAATATATAAAGACAATAAATTAATAATAGCATCTTTATATTTTTAGGCTTTAACATTTGGGATTATATCTTTAAGTTGTTTTCAAATATATACATACACATTTTATAATAAATAAAAATAAAGAAAAATAATAATATTTTTAATTATAATCTCAATTTTTTTTTCGTTTATGCTTTTATTGTTGACTATTTTTGATGTTATTCTTTTAAATTGTAAATAATGGTTTTCTTTTGCGTATCTTTTTCCAATGATTTTAATGTTTTTATTTGCCTTAAATTGTTTAATTTTTGGAACACTTTCAATTTAAAAAATAAATAATTTTAAAACAGATTAATAAGACTCTATATATTCATAAAATATTGGGGTAGTCGAATAAATAAAAAAATAATTAATATATATGTAAATAGCAACTTTTTTGACTATTTTTCTATAAATTTTAATGGATTTATTAAGAAGCTTTGTATTTTAAAATTGTGTTTTTTGTATAGAAAATAAATTTGAAGGGAATAATATATAAGGGGAAATATTCTTATTTTTTTATTATTTTTTTTAAATTAGTCCTTGTTTAATTGCCCCATGTGTTTTTTATTATTTACCTTATAAAAATAAATGCGGTTAAAGCATTAATTTTAATAGTTAAATCGAAATATTAAGTGTTAGATTATTAGAAATAGATAATTTATTAGAATAAAAATAAATAGAAAATATATAAAAAAAGAAAAAAAAAAATTCTGCTTATAAATAAATTACTAAAAATAAGGAAAATATCGATACTCTTAATCGAATAAATTTATATATGAGATAATCTAAGTTTGAAATATAAGATATTTAAAAAATTATATAAGAATTTAAGGTTGAAGGACTTATTTAAGAAAATTAAAGTTTTCAAAATTTTAATTGAATATATATATTAATATATTTAATTATATATAATAATTTAAAAATTTTGGTTTTATATAAAAAAAAAAAAAATTATGTATAAAAATTATTAAAATTTTATAAATAATAATATATGTGTTATAGTAAATATTTGCGAATACAAATATAGATAAATAAATTATATTTTTATATTAATAATTTAGCATATTTTTTTATTTAATTTATAATACAGAGTTTAAATAATTAATATATTTATTAATAATAACATTTTTTTTATTATAAGTTTAATTTAAAAATAATAATAAAATATAAAATAATATTTTTACATATAAATAAAATTATTAAAAACACAATATCAATATAATATATTTATAGTAATAAAAAAATGAATAAATATGTAGACGAAAATGCAGCTTTTGAAGATACATATAAAAGTTTATTTTTTAAAAATAGATAAATTCATTTTTTTTTTTGCTGTATTTTATATTAATATTTAATATAAAGTTGTTCTAGTGGGAGATACAAATGTGGGAAAAACGCATTTATTGAAAAGGTTTAATTTATATTATTATAAATAAGAAAAAATAATATTAAATAAATGAAAATATATATTATTGTTTATTTGAAAAATACATATATAAAAAATATCCAAAAAAATAAATAATGTAAATATTTATTATATAATAAAAAAGATTTATAAAAAATAATTTAGCTTGTAGTGTGGCGCCAACAATAGGAGTTGAATTTTAAGCAAAAACAATTTAATTAAAAGATGGAAAAATAATAAAGGTATAATTTTGGGATACAGGTAAAAAAAATTAATTAAATAAAAAAGTATATATAAATATAATTAAAAATACATATTAAAAAATTATATAATAAATAAATATATACATAATAATATATATATATATATATATATATATATATATATATTTATATATTTTTATTTTTTAAAGCTGGTTAAGAAAGATATAGATCTATAACTAGTTTGTAATTTTATTATTTATAATATTTTTATTACAAATAATTTTCCATATTAAATTTAAGTCATTATAGAAAAGCATTAGGTGCATTACTTGTTTATGATATCACTAAAGAAAATACTTTTAATTCAGTTCAAAAATGGATAGATGAAATAAAAAATTAATCAAGTTCAGATATTATAATAATGTTAGTTGGAAACAAATTAGACTTAGTTTAAAATAATCCTTCTTTTCGAAAAGTTAGTAAAGAAGATGCTAAAAATATATCTTTAGAACATAAAATGTTTTTTGAGGAAACTTCAGCTCTAACATCTAATAATGTTGATTAAACTTTTGAAAAATTATTAAATGGTATTTTTTTTCTTCTATATTTTTAGTTTTTATAAATACTATATATATTATCATATTTTTATTTTATAAAGAAATATAGTTTACTAAATAATAAAAATAACAAGGAAATTTTAATATTAAAATAAAATCAAATTAAAATAAAAGTTGTATGTGTTGAATAAAATAATTAAGAATTCTTGTTTTTTTTACTTTTGTAAAAAAATGAATCTGATTTATTATTTATAATCATTAATTAATATTAAAAACGTTATATTATTATATTTTTTAATTTTTTTTTAATTAAATAAATAAAAATATAAGAAAATAATAATAATTATACTCATAAAAATAAAAATGGAAAATAAATTATATAATTTAACTATAAAAGTTTAAAATTTACAATTTTAATAGCTCGAATAATAATATGAAAACAAAGTAAAAACAAAAAATATTATTAAAATAAACAAACAAAAAGCTATGCATTTTATAATTAAAATTCCAAGACTAAATAAAAGAATCTTAAGAATTAACAATAAATACCGATAGTGAAATAAAACTAAATGAATTCTTCGAATTCTAAAACATAAAATATGACGATATAATCGAGTTTTTATTAATACAAAAATCTGATGACTAAGAATAAATAGCTAAAAGTGACTTAATTATAATAGAAACCATATAAATAGATTTAGAAAATTAAAAAAAAATAATCCTTTAATAAAATGACTAAAATATACTCGAAATAAATATTTCTTTGCTTTTAAACTCTAACCAAAAGGCCGAAGAAGCACCTGAACCTGAACACTAAAAAAATTAAAATAGACAAGAAAACTCTAAATAATCATCATAAGTAAAAAAATTAATTTTTTTTTTTTTTTTTCTTATTTAAAAAAAGAATTCATTATAAAAAAAAATAAATAATGATTAATCCTCTATTTTGCCAAAAATAAAAGCAGAATACTCTCATTTAATATAAAACTCTATTTTAGATTAATCTAAATAAATATATGGATATGGAATATCTCATTATTAGTCTGCGTCTTCCCTCCAGCATTCCATTTAATATGTTTCATTTCCAAAAGAGAAAAGATTTGCAGTAAAAACTGATTAATTAAATACAGGAAATGATTCAGTAGTTTGTCTACCATCTATATTTGATAATTCATAAAAGTAAAAAAACAAAAAAATATTATTTGGTTTAAAAAAGAAAAAAAAAAAAGAAAAGGACCTTCTATAGGTTATGGTAATAAATCTATATTACCAGACTATGTATTAAAAAACGCTAAATAAAATCCTTCTCCTGGTCAATATGATGAAGATTAAACAAAATAAAACTAAAATAAAAAAAACAAAGGGATAACATTTGGAGTAAGCCGTGAATGTTATAAAAAAGTTTACATTCCAGGACTTAAATAGGCAGATCCTGAAAATGCTAAGGATATACCAGGACCTGATTAATATTCTTAAGTAACTTTATTCGGGAAAAATAAACATACTGGTTTTTCTCTAGCAGGGAAATTCGAATTGATTGATAAAAAAAATGTGCCAGCTAGTAATACTTATAATATTAATACAAATCTGGTGTTACCTTAAAGATATGCAAAAATAGGCTTTGGATATGGAAATAGAATTGATTTTAATAAAAATTCGGCTCCAGGACCAGGATCTTATTAATTTTAATCAGCTTTTGATAAATATAAAAATGTTTAAATGAAATATTTGAAAGTTAAATAAGGGTAGTTTTAGAATAATAAAGGAAGGGGAAATAATGAATTGGGGATAAGTAAAAAAAAAGATGATATTTAATTAAATTAGGAAGCTTATGATGAAAAGAAAGATTACGGATAACAAAATAATAATAATAAAGGAAATAAAGATAGTAAAGATGTATAAGATAATAATAATGGTGAAGTTGTGAGTGGAAATAATATAGATACGAAAGATGAGAATGATGCTTTTAATAATAATGATGATGAAGAGTTGGTTTAATAATAAAGCTGATGATAATTTTTTTTAAATCTATATTAGTTATTTTTTTTTAGTTCTTATTTATAAAATTTAATGGAAAATATATTTTTTTTTTTATATTTTCTTTATTCAAAAATATTAATTAATTTACTTTTTATTTTATTAAAATAATAAAATTAATAACTATTTTCATTTTTGAAAATTATAAAAATATATAATATTACCTTATTTTATATATTTTCTTATAATTTAAATATATTTCATAAAATAATCTTTTTTAATTCATAAATTTTTAAAATAAAATTCTCTTATCTCCTTTTTAAATGTGAATAAAACAAATTTTCTTATGTAAATTTTATAATAAAAAATAGGAAATATTTTATAATAAAAAGAATGTAAAATAAAAAATTATAATAGAATTATTATAATATTTTAAGAAAATTACAATAATATTAAATTTTATAATAAGATTAATTCCTAAAAATAAATTTATCTATAAACAACTAAATGAATTGAAGGTAATTTAATTATAAATATTAACAAAAAAATAAAAAAAATATTATTTTATTTAAATTTTGTAAAAATTAAAAATTCTTTTCTAAAATATAAAATAAAAAAAATTTAAAGTCTAAAATTTTTAAATTAAATTATATAATCTTTTTTTATATTATATATATAAATCTAAAATAATATAATTTTATTAATTAAATATTAAAAAGTGAAAAATTTAATAATCTGATTATTAATAATTATTGTATAAAAATTATAATAAACCTTATTATAATATCAAAGAAACTTAATAATTTTATTTAAAAATTTAAAGTAAAAAATAAATAATTTATATAAAAAAATTATATAAATTAAAAATAAAAATAAAATTAACCAAAAAATTTAATATTTAATTAAAAAAAGAGTAAAAAAACCTCGTGAGACATTAATTTTTATCTAATTGATTTATACATAGATAATATAAAAATTTATGTATATAATAAATAACCGAAAATAATATATATATATTTAATATAATTTGTAAATATATTTACAGAATTAAAAAAATATAATTTAATTATCAAAATACAAGCATTAATTTATTTTATTATTTATATATTAGAGCTATATAGTGTGATTTTTTATTTTTACTTTATAAGTTAATACTTTCAATTTTGTTTTTATAAACAAAATAAAATATAGAGAAATTTCATATATATATATTCATATTTAAATATTATATTAAAAAAAAAATTATGAATATTATTTAAAATAAAATAATGCAGTTTAATAAATTAAATTATAATATATATTAAATTTTAAATATTTTATTTAAGTAATTAAATTTAAAAAGTATTTATAAATTCTATGAAAAATTAAATTTAAAAAAAAAAAAAAAAAAAAATAGTAATTTTTAAAACTTATTAATTAAACAATATAATAAATATAATGATGTACAAATTATTTTAAACAAAAAATAATATATAAAGAAAAATATAATTATTAATATTATTATTTTTTTATTTTTATCATAATTTTAATTATTTTTATTATTATTATTATTATAAATATTTATATTATTTTTTTATTATTATTATATAAAATTAATTTAGTATATAATTAATTATATTTTTCTTTTAATATATTTTCTTCTTTTATCTTAATATTTATATTAATTACTTTTTTACATAATTTTTTTTTTAATATATATATTTTCTATTATTCTTAAATTTTTATATTTTTTTTATTATTTTTATCTTTCTTTTTTACTTTAATTTTTTTTTTTTATTCAATTTAGTTAATTATTAGATTAATCTACTATGTTATTTGTAGAATTACAATTATTTACTTAATTTTTATTTAGATATTAATATTATTTTCATTTTATCGGTTTAATTATAATATAAATAAAATTTACTTAATATATTTTTTATATCAAAATTAATATTTATTAAGTATTTTATTTTAATTATTTTTATCTCTTTTTAATTTATGTTAATATATATTTGCTAAGGATTATACAAAATTTTTGTAATTTTAATTTTATATATATATATATATATATATATATATATATATTATTTATTACTAAAATTAATTATA